AGGAAGTTAGGGGCTTTCACTCGCACTCGCAGACATAATCACATATATTATCCTAGCCTATATCAACACAATACATGTACACACAATATAATACTTTAAATAAAAACAAACATATGAACTCTAATATACTTCCTATGAAATGAAAATAAAGGACACAATAAAAGTAAACTTGACAGCGTTCGATCACAACGAGAGATGCCAAACAAAGGTAAGAGTGCTGGTGTACGCGAGACCCTGTGCAGTACAGCACACTCGCCAAACCTCCTACGCATTTCACAAGTACAGTGATCCCTCGTTTATCGCGGTTAATGGGGACCGGAACCCCTCGCGATAGGTGAAAATCCGCGAAGTAGGATTGGCCCCCTAGGAATTTCCGTATATGTGTGTGTGGGTACCAGAATGTTTAAAATATGTATATGTATACTTCATATAATTTTACTTAAATCTATTTAATTATAAAACCTTAATATTATACATTCTATCTCTCTCATACGATACGTATTATGGTGTTCTACACTCACCAATGACAGTAGTATCTTGAGACTTGACTCCAGTAATGACGACGACGACGATGACAATGACGATGACAATGACGACGATGACAGACCTGTGCAGTTCGATGAATGATGATGATGATGGTGTTACTGCACAGGTATAAAGAGGCCTTTAAAGCAGTTCGAAAAATCCGCGATGCACTGAGGCCGCGAAACTTGAACCGCGAAGTGGTGAGGGATTACTGTAGTACTAATCGCATATCTGCATTTCCCATAAATATGCTAAATTCCTCTTGATATGCAAATTATTTTGTCAAGGCGCTCTTCGCCCCCCCTCCAACCCAGCTTAAATAGTCGCTCCAAGCCTGGGGCTTGTCATTCAGACTCTGTCTCCTCGACAGACCTGTTCTCCACCTGAGGACGGCTGCTTGCGTTGTGGCCGAAACGTCGTGAGAATTGCATTTTATTATGTTTTATTTTTATTATTTTATTATTTCCATTCTACGTGACTTTACCGAAAGAACCAAGAAAATGAGCACACTAGTTATCGTACCACATGTGCTGCTGGCAACGCCACTGGGTCGCTGTGCCAGGCGAGGGGGGCATGTGTCGCGTTGCAGATGCCGTCATTCTGGAAACATGCCTCGTGTTTGTCAATAAAAGGTCTAAATAAAATGGCCTACCACAAAAGCACGTAGAGCGAGGATTGCCTGTACGTATGTTCCCGTAAGTAGACCGTGATATTCGCGAACGATAGTACGCCCATGAATTTGGGATTAGCCAATAAGAACAAGTATAACCCGTAAAAACAAAGTTTTTCACTATAAATCCTTTATATGCGTGGCGGCTAGAGTCCTCTCGTCCTCTGGCTTGAGATGGCTGCCACCTATGGGTCAGATGATTGCATTGCACCATTAAGCAATTGGTAATTAAATATAATATTTTTGTCCTAAAAAGTGTTAAATTTTGGGAAAAAAATTTCACCAACATTAATTGTCACGCACAACGAGTCTGTATGGAAAATGTCAGCTCGATTGGATCACGGGAAGTGGGTTAAAAAACGACCGAAAGATTTGCATGGTCCTAAGCAAGCAAGCAAGCAAACTTAATACTGTATAAAGGATTTAAAAATACTGTGGAACGGCAGAAATCTGGGTCCATGACAACCAATTCGCCAACTACTACTGCTGCCTTGCTGGAACACGGCCAAGCGTGAGCCGTCGAAGTACATCACAGGTACTTCTCCATCCGCACAAGCCCAACGCGCAAACCCAGGAGATACAAGCAAAGGGTAAGGTGAGCTTTTAACTCAAATGGACCCTGGCTTTTCCAAACACAGCATAATGCCAAAATTGATTTTCCTCACTCAAAAAGGTTGATGCCAACGTCAATGTCACACACATCCACACATATACAAAAGCCCCTTTCTTAGCCATACAGGCTGTTGGGAGAATGTGGTATGTATGTATGTATGTACGTTGAACTTCTTTTGCACCGTACATATCCAACTGTGCTCGTCGGACGTGTGGGGGAAGGACAACAAAATAAACACTAAAAGCAGTTTTAATCTAGATTTAGTGACCACCACTTAAGGCTCGAAGACACACACGAGAGATGGTGGGGGCGAGCAAAACACTCAACCGAATGTCTTCCCGGTGCTAATTATATTCATCTATTACGCTTGCTTACCCAGGAAAGCCTCACCGAGTCTCACATGCCTTTTTTTCCCCCTCGAGTGTCCTGCCAAGTTCTCGCAGGAGGGGGCGATAATTGCTACGTAGATTCCAACTGACTAATTTCCAGGTAATTTTCTAATTTGGATCGTGACGCCGGCACACGATGGCTCACTCTTACGAATGCCATCTAGGGATCTTTGCAGTCCACTGTGAAGCAGATGGCGCGTATTTTGTTTTTACGGTTCACACACCCATGTTATTAGACACAAAAATTACACTTTTTATTTTACCAGGTAAGGCTCACTGTGCTCTGTAGCTATTTATCATACGAAAACTGGCCACAAATGATATCTCAACAAAGTGGCTTATCGTACGGAAATGTATAGCAGCCAAATACTATACAAGCATGTTTCTAAATGTGGAGATAAAAACCGGAGGAGCCGGAGAAAGATGCATGCAACCACGGAGAGAGAGACATGCAAACTCCGAATATACAACAGGCGTAAGTGTCAGGATCATACCCACGACCTCCTGTACACCAGCCGAGGACAATAACATCTCGCCAACGTGGCAGCTGCCGCATTCGGACCATGAACACTCTGCAACAAGCGCCAAACACAGTCGTGTCACGAGGCCATACTGGCTGCGGTTGGCAAATGGAGTTGGCCATGAGCTGAAGTCGAATCTTGTTGACTGTTTGGATCATAAAACAGTGTGATAAACCTTACCCCGCCGCTCCCCATGACAAACACAAAGATCCCCTCCGTATAGCCTCAACAGACTGTTGGGGGCGAGTGCTGTTAGTGAGTAGCACTTATGAAGGGCGGCACGGCACGCGAAGGGGTGGGTGGGCCAGCACCATGCGCGATCGCCTTTGTCTCCCCAGTAGCGATGTTCCCACACTTGTACTCGGCACTAATTTGAGGCTGAGTTGACCTAGGGGAGGCCCAAGACCAGTTCAGATATTCCTCACTGATGTCGGTCGCGAGCGGGAATCGAAATCGGGTCACCGGGGTCGTTCCACAGTGCGCTAACCGCTGCACGACCGCTCCCCATGACACGCAAACAAATGCATACATCCGTTCTCAAACATATGCCGTGCCCCCCCGCCCCATCATCCCCGGATGTGAAACCTTAATTACCTACCACCAACACATACTGTTTGTACAATGAAACATTGCGACAAAAATCCCGTTGGGGCAAGTGCTGTTAGCGAGCACCTATAAAGGCTGGCACGGCACTTGGAAGGGGGTGGGTGGCCAGCACCACGCGCAATTGCCTTTGTCTCCCAAGCAGCGATGTTCACACTTCACAACAGGTACTCATTTGAGGCCGAGACGACCTAGGGGAGGTCCAGGATCGGTTCAGATAATTGTCATTGCTGTTCGCATTGAGTGGGAATCAACCACAGGTCACCACCCGTTTTGTCAGTGCAGTGCACTAACCGCTAGGCTACAATGACACACATATTCACACATCGCACAACTACAAAAACACAGCTGACAAGCTACGAATACGAATGCAAAGCAATCACAGTTTTTCTTAATACTAAAGTTGCATTGTAAGGAAAATTCCGAATCAATATTATTCATTGCTATAATAATGGAAGGGGGTCCTAACCCTCTCTCATCACCCCGTGGCACGGCGAACAATAGCGGCCGCTGCAGCGTCTATTGTGAACCGCCGTGCGGATTCCATCTGGAATGATGCAAATGAAGTGACCCGCTCAGAATTTCTCTTCCATGCCAGTGCATCGTCCCATCCACCCCCCCTCTTCCTCTGCCTCCCCCGCTGACTCCACGGGCTTTGTCTGGCTGATACCCTTCCAATCACCACCATCGTTATGATCTTTTTTTTCTTCTAGCACTGGCCAAGACCTGTGAGCCGAAGCATTTACTTGTCTTGTTACTTGCTCTTTAAATGCACATCAATCTCATTTCGTTTTGTGGGTTATGAGCCGTTCAGAAATATACAATAAGCTAAGAAAGCCTTGGCTTTTGGATCACAGAGTGAATTTAAGTGATCCTAGGTATAGTAGACTTTACACACACTACTGTGCAAGGAATACCAATGCACTTACCCATGCGTTCAACTGTCAAAGATATTGATGTACAAAAGTACAAATGTAGACGTAATACAACTTACGACACAAATTAACAACCAGGCGACTTGAGCAATAAATCAATTGCCAGCTCTATGCACAAACCGGTCCACTGGTGAACATGCTGACAACCATGTTACACAGCCACCCCAATGAACCGAGACTTCTTTAAAAAAACACATTTCTAGCTTTTAAACGTAACACGCAAAGATTTCACCCACACTGAATATCGCGCAGAGACAGTTTCTGCTTGCAAGCGCATATTAAAAAGGTGGTTATGGCACACAAGGAGACAGTTGTAGCCAGAACCAGAGTTGCCTGCCCCGTGTGCTAAAGTTCACACAACACCAGGTACTCCTTTGAGGCTGAATCAACCTAAGGGATGCCCAGAACGGGTTCAGATGTGACTTCGGGCTGGTATTTTACACGTGGCCAAGGATCGAGCCAGCTCTATCAGAACAGGAAAGCAGAGCAGTATATTCACTAAAACACCGCTCCTTTTAAAACACACACTGTAAGCGTATACACACTGCACATGCAAACACACTCTTTCATGTGAGTGCCGTGGCATCGGGTTCTGGGTGTTACCTCGGGGTGTAAAAAGAATAATAAAGAAGAAGAAGAAGAAACCGGCGGCACACGCACACACACAACAATACGGTGAAGGACTTTGCCAGCAATACCCATTGGCTGGTTCCCCCTCCCTTCTCTCCCCACCACCGCCAACGACAGAGGCGCGCAGAAGCGCACAGCCCCAACGGGTCCCTCCCTTCATTGATTGAGTGCCAGGCTCAATCGAATTAGTCGCGATGGTCAATGGAAGTGGCTGCTAGCTCTGGCTGGCTGGCTAGCTGGCTAGCTTGAGCGCGCAAGACTTTGCGAGAGAGCGGCCGTTTCCACGCCACCGGAGCCCGTTTAGATTTTTTTTTGTGTTTGCGTCTCGCTCCTCCCGCCGTCCTTACACCTCCGGAGTTCCGCTCGACCGCTGAATTTTTTTTTGTTGCTGCCGTTGCTCCGGATCGAAGAAAAGAAAACACACCGGGGGGAAATGTAGCGTCGGCGCTGCTGCGCACCTGCCCCCCCGGCGAGAGCGAGAGTTACAGGTACGTTCTCCCCCCCCCGCCTGCCTACCCCGAGTTAGGGGAGGAAAAGCGGACATCGCGAACGGACGGTGGTGCGGTACTCGTGTGTCGCGTGCGCTCGTGTGTGTGCGCTTGCGCGACACGCCAGCAAGAACTAACTGCCGAGCGATACCGACGAGATGTTTATAAACTAAGTCGACAGCAGCGATGTGCTCGTTCTGCAATGGGTTTTCAAGTTTGTCCTTGCCGTTCTTTGTTTTGCTGTTGAGACGGTCATTAATGCGGAATCGCAAAGGTATGGAATAGCGTGACATGTGTGGTCGGTATGATTAATCAATTAGGATAGCTACAATACAGCAGTGTTTCATGTGGAGGGTAGAAGATTTTGTAAACATGTATGCTGCTAATATTTCTACGGGATTCCTATAAGTTAATTGTAGTGACATCAGGGACACGTTTCAAGAACTGCCACAGCAATGACAAGAACCCATGAGTGTGTGGCAATCTTTTGTCACACGTTCATTAAAAATGTATTTTAAATCATATATTCCGTCAGGAGGGTCTTGATAACGGCACAGATCTGATGCCGGTAACCCAATTCTAGTTAAGATAGGAGAAAAGTATAAAAGAAATGGCATCAATAATTTAGATGGATTGTACTTGGTGTGACATTCTGACTTGTATCGCTTCACTTAGAAGTGTAATTTTCATTACATAGTATTAATTACACAGTCTTGAGAAAAAATAACACGGAAAACATGATGCAGTATGTTTAAATGAAAAAGAAAATTGTAACAATGATGAATGCATACAGCCGAACTGCTTAGAAATCAGATTTTTTTTTAATAAATGGCTTGGTTGAAGCGCTTTAAATGAATATCAGTGTGGATAAATATTGTACTTTACTGCAGTGATAACTCATGTGTTTTGTTTGATTGTGTATTATGTACGAGTATAAATATCACATTAAAATACGATTGTTAAAAGAGCCATTTATTTCTGTGTATAGACATCAACCGGTATCCTAAGATTATGCACAAGCTTTGTGTGCAATGTTTGGTCAGCTGAAGAAATTCACAGAGTCCGGCAAATGCGATAAACACACCGCTATCTCGCCATCGATGCTAGAAATGCACCATCGACATCTCCCACTTCCACCTGACTTCACCAAAACCTTGAGAACACCTTTGACTGGGGATACACGTTGACATTCTCATCGTGAGCGTGTGTCCTGCACGCACGTTTTAAGTGCTGCAACGGAACGAGAGAGCAACACTACTCAAGAAACCGTTCAGTGTCCGATACAGGGACAATCTCAACCAGAAAGCGCCTTTGCATGGCGTATTTTTAGCATTGCACGCGCCGCCAGATGTAAAACCAACAGCAAAATAAAAGTGCATGTGTATTTGCTCTGCAATGCGCATATCTGCAATATGGCCTGGTTTTTCGGCACGAACGGGGATTACCAAGGGATTAGTGGTTTGTAGGGTGCATTAGCCGTTTTCAATCTCCTATGTGACTTTCCGTCACTGCGTGTGTGTGCGCGCAATTCTCTCGCTATTCCACCAAAAGCACTCCGTCTCTAGCGCAGCATTACGTTCATACGGGCCGCCCCCCCCCCCCCCCACCTTGCCATTTAAATCGCAAGCAAAGCCACGGTTTTAATTAATTGGGCCACAAGTTCATGCCAAGCATGTGGGTTTGATATGCCAATTAAAAGTGACATTATTAAATAGACCGATAAAAGGTGCCGTTACGAACTACTGTACATTTTATTAGATTTTTTTTACTATTACACTTTGGATCGGGTCAATGAGCCATGTGGTTAAAGGACTTCATAAATGGTTCACCGAATTTCTAGTGCATTACTATCTAGTTAACACACAATTATCCCAAGTTCACAATACTTTAGGCAATATATATGTAAATTAGCAAACGGGACCATTTTGACTATCAGTCACACGGGTCAGAACAAGCCACACTTTACCCCACCACAAAACATCCACCAATTGAATCTTAATTTTAGAACTTTCGTGACTGCAGGAATTATTATTTGGTTCTTTCGGTTAAGTCACGTCTAAAGATAAAATAATAAATTAAATTAAATAATAGCATACGACGTTTCGATTGCAACACAAGCAATCATCATCAGGTATAATGAAATAGCGACATAAAATCTAACCAGAAAACTATTTACACTGCTAATATGTCTGTCTATAGTTTTCTGGTTAGATTTTATGTCGCTATTTCATTATACCTGATGATGATTGCTTGTGTTGCAATCGAAACGTCGTATGCTATTATTTAATTTAATTTATTATTTTATCTTTAGACGTGACTTAACCGAAAGAACCAAATAATAATCCACCAATTGATTCTGCTGCACTCCCACCCAGTCTCACTGCTGGGTGTAAGAAGAGTCAAAGAACCTTGCCTATTGTTTCAATCGCCTTGACGCAAAGTGGAACCTCGCTCATTTTACATTCCAAGTTCAGTGTCCTAAGCGGCGTTTGTCACGCTTGCTAATGTACAAATAGATTAATGATTCCTGCATGATCAAAAAAAAGTTGCCATGAATCAGAAGAGAGATATTTTAGTGGGTTGGCAAGTGCTAAATGGAAAACGTTAACACCACTAAATGACTGTAAAATATTACCAGGGGGTCACCAAAAAGATTTGCAAAATCATGAGCAAACACAAGATCCAGGTTCGATTTAACACAGTACATAAAATTCGTGATCTGATCCCATCTGTGAAGGATGTGATCCCTTACATGCAATACCCCGGAGTCTACAAACTAAGCTGTGTCTGGGGCAGTAGTCACATTGGGGAAACTAAGCAACATGTCTCGGACCATGTTCGTGAACACAAGGCAGATCTGACACACGGTAGGACCAATACCTCGGCTGTGGCTGATCATTGTTTTAATGCGGTTGGCTCACACGAAATTGATTTCTCTAAGACAAAGGTACTTTGCAAACCCACTGGTTATCAACAAAGATTCGTTCATGAAATAATAAATCACGACGTTTCGGAGGCAACACAAGTCTCCGTCATCAGGTGGGACCGTCACAGCTAAATTTACTGTATTAAGTGAGCTGTGACGGTCCCACCTGATGACGGAGACTTGTGTTGCCTCCGAAACGTCGTGATTTATTATTTTATTTCTATTATTATTCTATTATACTTTTTATACATTTTTACCTACGTGACTTTACCAAAAAAACCTAAGAGTATGAATCCTTGCAGTCACGAAAGCTTCAAATCTAGAATTCGTTCATGAAGCCATCCATACATACAGACAGACACAATTTCAACTGAGAAGATGGACACAAACTGAGCAATCACTGGAAGGACGTTATCAACCGGTTTAAGTCACAACTGGCTGTAATGTTGCCATTTCAGCACCAGTTTTTTTTAACCCCCCCCATCACATTAACATAACCTTCTCCATCCTACATGTAGCAGCCTACCGTTTTTAATCCCTGACATTAACATAAGCTCCTCCGCCCATGCTGCCCCAGGGCCCTTGTGCCCCGCCCACTCCGTTCTAACACTTGGGCTACGCCCATTTAAACCTTTATAAACAGATTGCCTTGAGAGGCTAACCCCTCTTTCTGCTCCACCTGACAGAAGTCGCAACCGGGTACCCGATACCCATACCCTACCCGATACCCGGCTACCCGTACCCGGCCGGGTACGGGTACGGGTACCCGTTTGCGACCCTGGTGCGGCCGAGTACGGGTACGGGTAGGCTGTGAGTCACTGGTGAGTAACCGTTTGTCACTCATTTCCCAACGTCTTGTCTCTTCTCACAATTCAAGTTCCTAGAATCAACCCACCCGCGCCTGCAACATGGCTTCATCCCAGAGGTCGCAATCAGGTACCCGATACCCGTACCCTACCCGTACCCGACCGATACGGGTAGGGTACGGGTACGGTCGGGTACGGTTACCTGTTTGCGACCCTGGTGCGGCCGGGTACGGGTAAGGAATCAAAACCCGTTTGCGACCTCTGCCACCGGATGACGACCGCTTGTGTTGCGATCGAAACGTCGTAGTTTTTTGTTATTTTCTTTGAACCTATCTACATGACTTTACCGAAAGACCCAAAGAATATGGTACTATTTAAATATCCATTACTATTACCAATATTAACATATCTGCAAGACCGTGGAAGTTTGGCCCCTAGTACTAATTATATTATCAAACGCTCTCAATGCAATGCAGAACGAAAGCACCCTCATTCTTACGCCGCAGTTTCCGATTTTGTGCAAATGCATGTCATCTCACCCCAAAACACCGACTCCCTAATTTATACATTCTACCTCCCTTTTGGTCACCTATCTTGCATATTCCTCCTCCTAGGAGCCACTGCTTTGTTATTTTTTCTCCATCAGCCAAAAAAACACATTACTGCCACTGTCATTTTCAAACACTGCCTTCAAATTCAAAGATTCAAATCGAAATAAGATTATTTGGGCAAAAGGCCTCCTTTTTCTATTTTGGCTCCAAAACGCAATTTTCCCAAAATTACATTACACATATTTCAGTTTACTAATGATGATGGCAGTGCTTTATTTGTAGCCTGTGATGTTATTCTACTCTGCAACGGAGCCCCTGAAATTATATTTCTCCCCACAGTAGTCTTTTCCACAAAGTGACAATGCCCTCGTCAGGTGCACTTTTATTCATTCACCGCTAGTGTGATTTCCACGTAATAAAAAAAATATCCATTCTCAAGTCCGTGACCCCAAAAGTGCACGAGTTGTTACTTCACGCACCGCTGTCCGTGGCAAAGCAAACAGAAACATCAATATTCTAAGCGCATTGTTGTTGCAGCCATGCAGCATTTGCATTGCAAAGCATTTCGAAAATCAGCTTCATAGCCTGTGGGAGGAGAGAAAAATAGTTTGCGTTTCAGATTATCCAGAACACGGCTCCTTTGCTTCCTTGTCAAACTTGCGAAATGGACTACATTAGCCTAACCCTGCAGGTCGCTCCACCAGCTGTCGTGCGCAT